AGAAGAAAAGCATCTACACTTTGTCATTTTTCCAAAAGAGGAAAGAAAAAAAAAAAAAAGGTGAAACTTATATACAAATATTACCTCATTTGTTGTGTGACTGAGTAAAGAATTTTTGGATCAAGCAGAAAGAGTTTAAGTGTCTTACAAACTTAAAGCTACTGTAGTACCTTAAAAAAAAAAAAGTCAATGTTGTACATAGTATAAAAACTCTTTGCAGAAAAGTATTCCCAATAAGGAAATAGCATTGAAATGTTAAATACATTTTCTGAAAGTTATGTTTTTTTCTATCTTATATACCATTGCTTTATTTTTATAAATTATTTTCTCATTGCCTTTGGAATAGATCTCAGATTGTGTAGATACGCTATTTAAATAATTTATCAGGAAATACTGCCTGTAGAGTTAGTATTTCTATTTTTATAAAATGTTTGCACACTGAATTGAAGAATTGTTGGGGTTCTTGTTTTGTTTTTGATTTGTTTTTCGCTTGTTACCCCCCAGTTTTTACTATTTACCAATACCTTTTTCTAGGAATGTGCTTTTTTTGTACACATTTTTATCCATTTTACATTCTAAAAGCAGTGTAAGTTTGTATATTACTGTTACGTACAAGGAACGACAATAAATCATATGGAAATTTATATTTATACTTACTGTATCCATGTTTATTTATTCTCTACTGGCTTTGTTATGAGGTGTGGGTAAACTCCATTCCTAAACCAATATAACATACACAAGACATTACAGTAAATATTAGTAACATTGACAGTTTCTATCCAATTGAAGGTGACTGATTTGCTTGGAAAACACATTTGCTGCATTTGTGGAATCAGAACAAAACATTAGCCTGCCCTATTAAAAATAAAGCAAGGACTCGGGGCGCCTGGGTGGCGCAGTCGGTTAAGCGGCCGACTTCAGCCAGGTCACGATCTCGCGGTTCGTGAGTTCGAGCCCCGCGTCGGGCTCTGGGCTGATGGCTCAGAGCCTGGAGCCTGTTTCCGATTCTGTGTCTCCCTCTCTCTCTGCCCCTCCCCCGTTCATGCTCTGTCTCTCTCTGTCCCAAAAATAAATAAACATTGAAAAAAAAAAAATTAAAAAAAAAAAAAATAAAGCAAGGACTCAAAAGGTGGACCCCAACAGGATACAATTTTATGTTTTAGAAAGGTAATTAAACGTTGAGTCCATTTCAGAGTACAGTTCTGTTTCTAAAAAGAACAATGAAAACAAAGGGAAAAAAATATAAGCGAGGTGCACACAATGCTCACGGCTACATTTTCTGGCCCATGCATGACGGCACTGGATAGGTAGCACACAATTACATGTCGTCGAGAAGCGTTAGAAGTGCGAATGAGGGAGGAACCGTCATTACCAAATTGGGCCAAACTTTATAGACATCCCCTGTCAGAAGATGAATTTACCTTTGGTCAAAAACAGGACTAAAAGGATTTGGAAGAAATCCAAAAAATACACATCACGTATCAAGTTTTTAAAGAGAAGACCAAAGCATTACAATAAGCAGAACTTGAGTATGGGTGAGCTAACAATGAAAGCAAAATATTGACTAATTTCCAGTTTTAATAACAAGTACAATCAGAAATCTTGTGAGTAGGTTAAAGGTCTGGCTTTGGGGGTCCATGAAACACCACACATGACTGGCTGAGACAGATTCTTGTTGATTTTCCGTCTCATTCTAAAAACACTTCCCCCGGGGCACCTGGGTGGCTCAGTCAGTTGAGCGTCTGACTTCGGCTCAGGTCATGATCTCGTGGTCTGTGAGTTCAAGCCCCTGGTCAAGCTCTCTGCTGACAGCTCAGAGCCTGGAGCCTGCTTCGGATTCTGTGTCTCCCTCTCTCTCTGCCCCTAACCCACTAGCATTCTGTCTCTGTCTCTCTCAAAAATAAGTAAACATGAAAAGAAAAAAAAAACACTTCTCCCATCTAAGGCAGCATAATCATACAGAAGTATAAATTACCAAATCATTTCATGGTGCCTAGGTAAAGAATAAAGAACTCTAAGATATCAAAAAGGGCTACAGAGTTTGGAAAACTGATCTGAAAGATAATTCTTTGAAACAGGACATCATCCCTTCTCAGAGGAGCATAAACATGGCAAGTCTTAGGAGAGAATTCTAATTCATTTTTTTTTTTTTTAAAGTAGACTCCAGGTCCAACGTGGAGCCCAATGCGGGTCCTGAACTCATGACCCTGAGATCAAGACTGAGCTGAGATCGAGAATCTGACGCTTAACTGAGCCCCTCAGGCAGTCCCAATTCACTTTTTAAGGAGCAAACCTACAGGAACTGTAAAGATCCTGATAGGACACAAAAAGTGTCCAGGAACGGGAGCTATTTTCCCAGGTATCCTTCGTGTTTACTCTGAGACTGACCTTCAAATCGGTAGATTGTACGGAAATAAAAGGCTTGTTCAGAACTAAGATTATGCCATCAAGGTGCTAAGAGAGTTTTCCTGCTAAGAGAGTTTACGATCATGTGTTTTAGAGACAATTGGATTGAAGGGCAATAAACTTTTGGTCCTGTGGGGATTTACAATAAAGGTGGTGCGGGTAGTTTTCCTGAGAAGTCATAGCAAAAAAACTTCAATTTTAAGATCCTAAATTTGTTTCTAATAGGAGCTAGCTCTTGCTCTTTCATAGTTTTTCTTCTCGATCTTGTTCTGGGGGAAAGACTCAGGTCTAGAGGGAACCTTAAAATAATAACACTGATTTTTAATAAGAACCACTTTCCCTATCAGGGTAACATTTTTTTAAAAAATTCTGGAGCCTTTGTGTTGAATTATATTGTATCCCTTGAATGCACCTGATCTCATCTGAATTGTATTCTAAATTTAGCTTACCAATCCTTGTTAGAAGTACCTTCAGCTGACATGCTAAGGAATGAACTGTGTCACCTCTTTTCATGAAAAAAATCCATTACTTGAGATCATTCTGTATTCCTTCCCTTCTCTTAAACTCCTGTAACAGAAAAGCTCAGTATGCCTCAAATACCGTTTGCAGAAACACATTAGAAAGCCATAAGCTCTCACCACCCCCAACAAAACTCCCCCCTCCCCCAACCAGCCCCACTGCACACACTCAAATACCAGAAGCACAGAGATTTAGAAACCTGAGCTCTTCATAAAGTTTGACGGGCAAAAATGGCTCCTCTCTGTCACTACTGCAAATTCCCACCCATAACACCCCTCCCCTGACCCAAACTTTACAATGCATGTGTCATTTTTAGGAGCGTCCAACAGCACGACTTTAACATCTGCTGGTACCCTCCCCCAACAAAACTCAGCGTCAAGATAAATCGCACTGTCACACATTGACATCAATACGAACCATTGTTAACTTTCATGTAAACTGAAAAAGGAGGCCCAAAAAAGAAATCGCTTATCCATTCCTCTAAATGTAATAGCTATAGAGTTTATTTTCCAAAGTCAAGGAAATGTGATATAAGCAATCATTAACATCCTCAACTATCAGCAGATAAAAATGTGTGTGAGCAAAAAAGAATCATGCTACATACCTATTGCCCCAACCTTCATTAAAGGTAGCACAATAGCTAACTCATTTTTTTCATCAGAAATAAATTGGACTTCGTGCCAATTCATTGTATAAAGTGTTGACATAAAATTTTCTCATGAATCCAAGTTACTGACTTGTAACTAGACAAAACTTCTCTCTCTCTCAATAGTACCCCAGAACATTTCTTAAGTAGCTCATCTTTATTTGCTGCATTCTACTTTTTTTTTTTTTAATGTACTCTGGAGAAAAAAGTGTGAGTGTCTTCCCTTTGCCCTCTCTATGTGGTGCTTATGGCGCTTTGATTAAGAATATCATCCATCCCTGCCGCATAAGTATGACCTTAGAAGGTCATAGAAGAGGTCATAGGAGATCTCTTCATATGGTCCTTTCATAATAGTTGTGTATTAACACCTAGAAAGTGGTGGTCTCTTTCTATGACATCTGTAAGTCCAATGGAGAGGAGCAAGAACAAATTATTTAATATTTTACTAATTAATTAGTATCTGTCCCCTCTGGTCTCCAAGCTACTTAAATTTAGAGGGTTTACCATAGTATTCTCATTGGGAGAAAGTAGAAAGTTAGTAATTGCAGTGGATGTATGTTCACTTCCTCCTCAACACTCATGGTTACTGCTGACTCTTTACGATTGCCCCTAGTTTCTAGAGGTTATCCCAGGGAGATTAACCTAACTTCCATCTAGGACAGTAAGCATGAATCCTGGACTATAGCAATCATCAGAGTCCATCCCACAGCCACAGAATTTGCTTCAGAGAGAATGTGATTAAGGCAGATCAATTAAAGTGAAGCACAGAACCTCTGCTCAAAATCCTGACATATAAACTCCTTCCAATCTGGATGATTTATTTGCTGCATTCTAAAAGGCAAATTCTGCAAGATGATAAATGGTAATAAAAATCAAGTAATTCAAGTAAATCAAACTCTTGCTTGAGCAAAATACCACTGCTAGTAAAGAAGCAAAGCCCATGCTAACATTGCTTTGTTGAGAAAATTCATTTCTTTCTATGGCAAGTTGTACTTAACAGGCACCAAACGGGAAGAAAGCTGGAAAATCAGGGCCCAAATAAGAATTCATAGTGATTCCATCTGTCTAAATCACAATGAAGTTGTAACACATAAAATCAAATACAAAGTCATCATAGTACTTCAACTAGTTTTAACAAAGCACACACATACATAAAATGTTGGTTTTATAACATATCCCTGATGTTGCAAGATTAGCAATAAAACACAATTTCACCAGGCATTTCAGTGAAGAAAAAAAAAATCACTGACCAAATGCACCCATGTCTCAAAAATATCAAAGCAGCAAAACCTAGGAAGAGAGAATCCAAATATTAAAAATCAGTATTTGAGGAATGGTCTCTATAGATGCAGTCAATGAATGTAAGAATTCAGAAAACAGATTAATTTACCAACTTCCTTCAAAGCAAGCACGCCCAGAAAGTCATGGCTCAAGATTCTTTCCCATCTTCTGTCACATCTTCAGTCTCCTCTTCATCTGCACATTGAAAACAATAACCACAGTTTTTAGGTGATATAACTAAAACTCTAACTATTTTTCAGATGAGAGCATCCTGGATTATCCAGATGTGTCCTGTTTTCAATAACATCCTTAGAAGAGAAAAGTAGAGGTATGGGGATGCCTGTGTCATTCAGTTGGTTAAGCATCCGATTCTTCATTTCAGCTCAGGTCATGATCTCACAGTTCATGGGTTCAAGCCCCAAGTCCACTCCTTGCTGACAGCTTGAGATTCTCTCTCTCTCTCTCTCTCTCTCTCTCTCTCTCTCTCTTCCCCACTCATACATGCATACATACGAGCTCTCTCTCTCAAAAAATAAACTTTAATAAGAGAGAAAAGCAGAGGGAGATTGGAGAGACACACACAGAGAAAAAAGGTAATGTGAAAACAGAGACAGAGATTGGCATGATGTGACCACAAAGCAAGGAAACCAAAGAAGCAATAGCCTCTCAATAGCCTGAGACAATGGAAGAAGCAGGGAGGCATTTTTCCCTGGAGTCTCCAGGCAGAGCATGGCCTTGCTGACTCTTTAGTTTCAGACTTCAGGCCTCCAGAACTTCAAGATAATTAATTTCTGTTGTAATAATTTGTTGTGGCAACCACAGGAAATGAATACAGGTATATAAATTATAGGTCAGTAATGTTTTTTTTAATCTTTTAATTAATGACAAATGATCTGGAGTTTCAGAGAGTGAAGTGAGAAATGCAGTGATATTGTGAACACACGGAGAAGAAATATTAAGCAGGGAGGAAGGTGGGATACATGAGAAACAGACCTCAATATCCCACCCCTGAGATGAGGATAAGACCGTGACCCAGGCCTCCGCAAGTACTATTTCTTCCATCTGGAGTGTTCCGCTTCTCGCCCACCCCGTAAAAGATCATCATCCTTGGGGGCTCAACTTAAATGCCACTTCCCCATCTCCCCACGTTCATCATCCTGTGGTATTGCTGTGCACCTGTCCAGAAGCTCTTACTACACTTGTCTCGCCCCTGCTGTGGTTCTCTGCTTAAGTTCCTGCCTTCCTCAATGGACTATGAAATAATGCAGAGCAGTGATTAGGTCTTATTCCTTATATCCTAGAGCAATGTCCTTAATGAATGAATACAATGAGCACAGTGGAACCCTGGCACAGTGATTTCAAAGCAATGGCTACACAACTGAATCACCCAACACAACTGAGTCCTCCAACACGGACTTTCAAAAAGACTGGTATCCAGTCTTTCCACCTCTGGCTGCCATAGTGAAAGGAGCTGCCGCCATGTCTGCCCGCCTACAATGGGTGGTCGTGCAGAACTGCTCCAGCTTCCTGATCAAGAGGAAGAAGCAGGTGTACATCACAGAGTCCAACAAGCTGAAGGCTCACAACTCCCTCTGCTACAAGGGGCTGATGCACCGCCAGACTGTGGGCATGAAGCCGGCAGCCAAGGGCAAAAGGGTAGTAGTGGTGGTCATGAAGCGGAAATCTGGCCAGTGAAAACCTGCCACATCCTACGTGTGGACCACCGTCAACAAGAATGCCTGGGCCCCCCTCAGCAGCATCAGGTACATGATCCGCAAGAACAAGTACCGCTCAGATCTGCGCATGGCTGCCATTGGCAGAGTCAGCGCCAACCCCTGCAGCCACAAGCCCATGATAGTAAAGAGAAATCAGGCCAACCCCACAAAGAGCTTCTGAGCACCTGCCACTCACTGCCAAAGCAATGAAGGTGTCAACCACCGTAAAAAAAAAAAAAAAAAAAAAAAAAAAAAAAAATACTGATGTCCAGAGCCAACCCCTAGAAATAGATTTCATTCATCTGGGATGGAACCCAGGCACATTAGTCTGTTTTCAATCTCACCTAGTCATTCTAATATGTTACCAAAGGTAAGAAGCATTGCCTAAGGGATGGACTCAGTATAGCTTAAAATGCCAGACAGATCTGAGGCAGATGCCAAGTAGAGAGATTTGAAAACCAAAAGTATACAAAGCATAGATGATCCCATACTGGCTATTTCTGTCTCCAAATAAAGCCATGCAAGAGGAGAGAACCCAAGCTAGGATATGCTTGCTCTGGGTGTCAAAGGGGAAGGTTACCCAAAAGCAGTACAGGATAGATGTTTAGAGAGGTAAAACAATCTGGAGAAGGTAGTATCTTCATTAAAATGAAATTTAAGAAGAAAAAGTAGGGATTGAGCACATTATCAAATAATTGACATTATTTTCACCATTAGTTTTTTGGGTTTTTTTTTCCACAACCCTGAAGTAGAGTGACTAGTAGACCAGAGCTTCTCACACATTAACAAGCATATATCACCTACTAGATCATCTTTTTTAAAATGTAGAGTCTAATACAGTAGGTCTGGAGTAGGGCCTGTGACTGCATTTCTAAAAGCTCCTAGTGATGCCAGTATTTCTGGTCCATAGAGGTAGTCTGCAGTGACGATCTTAATCTTTTCATTTTACCCAATATGAATGAAGCAATGGAATCACAAGTTCTCATTAACTGATAAAATGGTAATACATTATAATATCAAAACACTCCAGGGGCGCCTGGGTGGCGCAGTCGGTTAAGCGTCCGACTTCAGCCAGGTCACGATCTCGCGGTCCGTGAGTTTGAGCCCCGCGTCGGGCTCTGGGCTGATGGCTCAGAGCCTGGAGCCTGTTTCCGATTCTGTGTCTCCCTCTGTCTCTGCCCCTCCCCCGTTCATGCTCTGTCTCTCTCTGTCCCAAAAATAAATAAACGTTGAAAAAAAAAAAATTAAAAAAAAAAAAAACACTCCAACATGCCATCGTTTACATTACTAAACAAAATGATCAAGTGGTATGTTATCAGTAGAGTAAATAATCAGTGGCACATATTTATATGAAAAGTCCACCTCAAATCAAGACCCGGCTCAAAGAAAATTAGGTGAAAGTAACTTGAAAAGATAAGCTTAACAAATATAAACTTACTATATCCTCAAGTTTTACATCAAAAGGTGATTACCACTGGACACTTGCAATAGAGCAGCTCTGGTATTTTGATCAAATAAATTTGGGAGGTTAAGTTACTAAGAGCATCTGAAAAGCAGGGAGTAGCCTTGCAAAAGTAATTTAGCAAACAATAACTAGGAAGCCCGAAGGCACTCACAGTTGGAGAGAAACAGAACTTCATCAAGGCAAGGATGAGTCAAGTATTTCCCTAAGAGCAAGCCAAACTATTTTTTAATGGAAAAAAAAAAAAAAAAGGTTAGCTAATAGTGTTACTATTCTAGAATCTCAGGGCTCCACTACAAACTGGGAAGCCTGTGTGACAACAAAGAAAACTTTCTCAAAACAATCCAGTGCCTTGGCAACTGTTCAGGTGGTCTGAGTAAGGACGTATACTAACACACACCCCCTTCAAATCACCCCAACATCCTTCACAAAAGCCGATCCACCTACAACCACCTCAAGATACAATCAAGTTACTATCAATGGTGAATCACTGTATCTTACACCTGAAACTAATTCAACACCATACGTTAACTATACTGGAATTAAAATAAAATTTAAAGATACCTAAGTAAAAATTACAATCAAGTAAACTTGAAGCATATTCAGATGGTACATTACCACTGTTGGTAGAACCTGTTCTGAGAACCCCCAACAGAGAACATAAATGAGCTTTGTTACAACTAAACCGAAACACCTATTTCTCAAATAAGCAAGGCAAAATCTTGTAGCTTGCATTAATTCGGCAGACTGAACTCTCCACACCGGACACTCTAATTTAAGTAAGTCAGATTCGGGCCCCGGACACAGGTATAAAACAGACGAGCAATAAACTTCCAGATGATCCTGATGCTCAGAGAGGTTAGGAGTAATGCTCCATGGTTTCTAACAGTGCTTCTCAAACTTCACAGTGAGTATCGTTGGGCGATCTTGTTAGTAAATTATGATTTAGTAGGTTTTCAAACGAGCCCCCAGTAACCGAACCACACTCTGAGCAGCAAGGGCTTATAACCTGGGATGGAAATCCTAGGGCTCCAAATGCCCAGGCACATGAAGTAGAGAGGGGCAGACAGGGGGCCATGTCCCCCTGCATGTATGTGCTCCTTCTAAAGGGAACATCCACTCAGCTCTCCTTACTGGTTTAAGGACCTGCTGATTTATCAGGAAAGTCAGAAGCCCAGGCTTTTATGGGAAATCTCCTGATTCAATGTTCAATACATTAGTCCCTCTTGTCCACAAGGAATATGTTCCAAGACCCTCAGCGCATACCTGAGATCATAGATAGTGCAAAACCCTACATACACTAGGATTTTTCCTATACATCCATGCCTCTGGTAAGGTTTAATTTATAAATTAGGCACATAAAAGATTGAAATAACCAATAAAATAGAACAATGGTAACATACTGCGATCAAAGTTTTGTGCACATGGTCGCTCTCAAAATGACTTGTACTGTCCTCACCCTTCTTGTGATGATGTGAAGTGATAAGATGCTTACAGGAGGAGATGAAGGTGAATGGCACAGACACTGACATAGTGTTGGCCTACCGTTAACCTTCTGACCTACTGTCAGAAGAATCACCTGCTTCTGGAATGCTGCGGACCACAGGTAACTGAAACCACAGATAAGGAGGGACCAGTATAAGCCAACTCAGTCTAGTCACTGACCTAATTATGTGGACTCTCTCATTCGATCCTTATTGTAAGTATTAAAGCCATCTTATCTTAGATAAGGAAACCAAGGTGTAGAGAAGAGAGATTAAGTAACTTGCCTAAGATCACTGCTAATAGAGCAAGCATTCAAACCCAGATCTGTCTCACTCAGAGTCCACACTCCCAACCACTAGGTGACATCATGCAGGTGGGTGGGCACAGCAGCCCTCCCTCTGCTCCTCTATGTTCTAGTCTGGGATCCTACTACTCACCCACACTACTACAAGCTTTAACTCATTAATTTGCTCTCTGGTTTCTTGTTCTCACTTTCAGTTTACAGTGACCAATCATCCAGTTTGCCAGAGACTAAAGGTTTCCAAGGACAAGAACCATTCGGTGGTAAAACCAGGACACTTCCTGAGCAAACCGAAACAGTGGCCCTAGTCTTCATTTAGGGTTGTTATTTTTAAAACAACCTTATCTGACTCATTTGTTACAGAAATTTTTTAAAGCACTATTCATCATATGGGTCCTATGGGAAGGAAATTGAATTTTGTTTTCCTTGAAGAGTTAGTATAGTTCTGACCCCCCCCCTTTTTTTTTTTGCTACGTGACAGGCTTCATGTCCCTTTTTGCCCTATTCTATTATTTTTGTTTTTGTTATTCATATTTTCCTCTTTACTATATGAACTTCTGTTGACAAGGAGCTCAAACACTTAGTGGGAAAAAGAGAATGCTGTCCATGCACGGATGCCTTTTGGTTTGGATTATCTGGAAAGCAAGTCAACATAAGAACTTGAGTAGGGGCACCTGGGTGGCTCGGTCGGCTGAGCGTCCAACTCTCGGTTGAGGCTCAGGTCATGATCTCACGGTTCATGGGTTCCAGCCCCACATAGGGCTCAGGGCAGAGCCTCCTTGGGATTCTCTCTCTCCTTCTCTCTCTGACCGCCCCCCCCCAACTCCCTCTCAAAAATAAACAGTTTTTAAAAAAGATAATTTGATCAAATACTAGACTAACCATAGACCTGAAGGACTTTTTCTCTGAAGTTCCAGCACACTCCGTGGTGCCTCTGAGGTTAGGTGGTACCAAAGAACAATTACTCCCTGCTCTCCTCACACTTGGATGTGGAAAAACTTATGTTGGGGAAACATCCAGCCTCGTTCCAGCCTCCTCCACTCTCCACAAGGGAAAAGAGCCAGTTCTCTGACCAGTGAGTTTGGGGGAAGAAACAGCTCAGCTCAGCCCCTTCCTCCACAGGAGTTAGCACACCACCCCTCCCCCGCCAAGGGTGCTTCTTGACTCCTCCAGGCTATTGGTTCCACATGGACAGGTTTCCACAGGTGAGGTTTGAGTCTTTTCACCTCTGCCAGTGACTGGGTGTGTGAGTTCACTTGGAGGACGTAGCATTCGGAAGACCATTTGGCTGCCTACACAGGTCACGACAACGCCCTACATTTCATCAGCAATGAAGCCAACCTCCTTATTCTGCATCCGTCACAGTCCATCTATCTCTAAGTTGGTTCCGACCTGGGTGGGGAAAAGAAAACCCTATTTATCAGTCCCCTGAAGCCCCCACAGTGAGTGAGCGCAACACTGAATTCACTGGACCTTGTATCCAGAAAGTCAAATTTTATCAGTAGTTACCGCTAAGCTAAAAGCACAAGAAAAATGGAACTTTTAATACAGCTCTGAGGCAAATCCTTATTTTTCAATACCACGATTTAAACTGGACCTCAATGGCATTCAGTTTGGTTCTCTTTTTGAAGTTGTATCTGACTCTGCCTTCTAGAAGAATTTTAATACTTGTGACAGACCTCGGTTCATCAAGAAAAAGACTACTATATACAATAGTACTTGCTACTGAAAGAGAAAATGATAAATGGTTTTTCTCATTCACTCCTGCCTGTTTCTCGAAATCTGCTCTGAATCACATTCACGTGTGTCTATTTCCTAAGAAAGACCTGAATATAACGTTGCAGCTGAAAACACTGCTATTCCTCATTAAAGTTACGTCCGTAAAGGGCTTTTTGCCAAGAAAACTGGTTTGGCATTCAGTTTTGGTGTTCACTTTGGTAGAAATCATAAAATTTCCATTTAGTATTTTAGAATAAAATTGATTAGCAAAGTATTTCGATCTTGAACACTAACACAGGTTAGTAAAGTGAAAAACTCCAACCTCCGATACGCTGACAGGCACTCAAAATGATCGTGCAGAACCGATGCCTTAAAGTATGTAATAAACAGAAACGTAACAAACAAAAATGTAATAAACAGAAAATAAAATGTGGCTCACATATTCACATGTAGGCCATCTCAAGCCTCCAAACTCACAAGAGTTGTGCTAATCGTACATCAGGGTTATCTGGTGCCTTCAGAGGCATGTTCCATGAAGTTGTAGGTAAACCCTCACAGCTTCTTTCCAGCAAGCCATGTTAAGTTCTAGTTCATTCCATCGTGTTATGTTCTGCTCAGAAGCAGATATACATCAGTGTGACTCAAGTTCCCATAGAAGCAAAGTCATAGTTTAGCAAAGTGCTGTTCTAAACCCCCTTACCAAGGGAATGGGATCCCAAATACAATAAATCACCACAAAGTTAGCAGGTTCGCCTACAGTAGACAAAGAGGAGATACTTTCTCTGATGACAACCCTTTATCCAAAAAGAAGGAAAATATACTGCAATTTGAGAATAGAACAAGTTTTCATAGTTCATTTGTTAAATGAAGATCCTTAGTGGGGATATGCATAATGCAGCCGTCTAATCGAATTGCGTATTGTAAAAATGAACTCTGCTGTTGGGTAAAAACTTCATAGCTTGTAAAATTTCATTTAAAAAGGGGGAAGTTCCAAATATTTATAGAGAATGTGAGACTTGCATAGTTCCTTTTTTATTTATTTATTTTGTGAAAGAGAGAGTACAGTGGGGGGAGGAGCAGAGAGAGAGAGAGAGAGAGAGAGAGAGAGAATCCCCAGCAGGCTCTGGGCTGTCCGCATGGGTCTCGATCCCACCACTGTGACATCATCACCTGAGCCAAAATCAAGAGTTGGACGCTTAACCCACTAAGCCACCCAGGTGCCCCAAGGCTTACATAGCTCTTAAGCAATACCACCTGCTTTCATTCACACTGTGAAGAATAAGCGTGAACTATATTTTCAGCATATTATTCTAAAACTGGATAATTTAAATTGTTTCATTTATTAAATAAGCACTTGGTTTAGGACGGCACTTTGGACATCACAGAAGTAACAATAAATCAAAAGATAGGATCTTGGTCCTCAAAAATACTACACAATTCTAAGGAAGAGAAAGTGTGTGTGCATAACAACTTCACGACAGTATGTGTGAAATGATCTGATAGGGGACCAATGTTCTTGGACATTCAGAGGAGAAATCAAACGTTTAATGGAGAGAAACAAGGAAGGTTACATTCAGGAAGGATGGGGTTGGAATTCATCTGCCATTGAAGGGGTACCAGAACATTCTTCAGAAGAAAAGAGTAGGGGCTAATACAGGGGCAGAGGAAAGCACTGGAAATCCTGAGACCAGATTAGCCATAACCTGAATAACATTTAGAGAACTAGGTAGAGAGTGATTACAAAGAGATTGAAGTCAGACTGCGGAGGCCTTGAACACCAAGTGAAAGAATTCGGGTGTCATTCAGTGGGCAGTGGAGAGCTCAAGAAGTTTTCTGAGCTGGGAGGTGTGGCTATCAAAGCTGTACTTTGGAGGGGTTTGTTTAGTGGGGGTCAGCAGGGGCTGGAGGAGGTGAGAGATCAGAGGCGGGGAGGATGGACCAGATCAGATCAGAGGGTTTTTACTCTGGTCCAGCTGAGGCAGCAGGAAGAACAAAGAAGGGATGAGCATGGGAAACGCTGCAAAAGTAGCGCAAACAATACTGAAGGTTGAAGGTGGGGAGCAAAAGAGACAGGAGATTCAATAATGACTCAAACAGAACCTGGGTGAGTGAGGAAACAGAAAGAAAAGAGGAAAATCTGAGTTGAAAAGGAAAGATGAGGAAATCAGTTTGAGGCCATAACCTCATGGAGCCGGCTAGCAGGCAGTTAGAAATATGGGACTGGGGAGTTAGTTCAGAATTAATAGATTACAGATTTCATTGGTAATATATAGATAATTATAGAAAGATATAGATTTAATAGAAAATACATCATCAGTAGCATTATCTACATTAGAGGAAAAGTTGAGGCTATTTACATAGACTTACCACATACAACATGGATTATGTTAGACTTCTAACTTAGATAAATAATTGAATATTTGTTTATGTCAAAAAATATCCGTAGTGTTTATAACCTGTACCATTGTACCACTGTAAAATGCAACACCGGATCAAGACAAAATGCCTGAGTGCATACAAGTAGCTGGGATGGGAACTTGTGTAGAAACTAATAAAACCACTAATAAAATGCATTTCACATTTTACAAATTCATCCCTTGGAATAAATTCTCATCACTGAAATTTGGAAGTTAAAAGACTAAGCAAACTATCCAAATTATTTGTATCTGTCCAAACTAAATTCTCTTTCATTCTGAAATCATCACCGTTTCCTGTATAGCCACCCAGAATATGTATTAATTACCATTAGGAATAATATATCTCATAAGAGCACTAATTCTAACCTTGATCTCATACAAATGTTGATAAGTTTGTTATGTTGCATGCTATTGACACCATCTATGACTTCCTATCCTGTTCTACCTTAAACTATAACACCTTTATATTGAGATGCTTAGTATTATTCACCAAAATACACATCTTCTACGCCTTACCCATTTTTGGTTTCTCTGGAGAGCTGACTTCCAGACGATGGTCTTCAGATGAAAGGCTCACATTGATGTCATACAGTGGATCATCCAAGAAAGAGGGCCTTTTCAGTCTCCCAATGCCAATAGTCTTCGACATAAAATAGTCCTTTGTGTCACTAATAACCTTGTCCTTGGGAAATGGGAGGCATCTCAAATTCTCTGCTTCGATGACAAGTGCTTGAGACATGTAATGCCCAGTCAAGGCTTTGGTGAGATAGTAACCTGTACATGTTTCACATTCTGCATTCTCAGACATATTTGCATCTTTTACCTCTGTGCTGGTGACTTTTGTTTCTGACCCATTTAGTAGCTCAGAGAGGACAGATCTGGAAAGATGGGGGGACTGGGCTGTTGAATCCTCTACGTCTTCCTTTTCTCTTTCTGAAGAAAGTCTAATCATGGATTTTTGTCTGAGTGTGCATTCATCCAGAAGACACTTTAACCGTTCCTCAGAGAGAGGTGATGTTGAATCTAACTGATGAAACAAACCAAATGCTTTCATAGTTAGGTGATTGAGTAAACACATTTATTTTTGATAATTTCCAGTAATACAGTATAAGTGTAAGTGCCAAGAAATCCCTTATACAAAACACTCAAATAGCAAAATCATTCATTTTAAAGCATCTACAATTTCAGGAGAAACGTACAGCATCCCCAGAGAACAGCTTTAGAATCCATCATGCCTACTAAAATCCTGGGAAAATCCCTGAAAACTGATGGAAATAAGTTACCACACCAAATTAACCACTAACACTCTCTCTACATGTGGAAGTAAGTTGAAATGGAGATATTAGAAAAGCACTTTCAATTTTATAAGTCTTAGGACGTCAAGTAGGGAAGTAAGCAACCAGCCCATTGATAACCAGCTAGGAATCCTGCCATAATCTCCATTAGGTGTTTCTCTGCTTTCTACTACTCCTCAGTGTGAACCCCATCACCACCCAATTTCTTAAAAATCTGGGGGGAAAATCTCGGGCAAACAGGTCAAACTGCACCTGCCCCTGGGGATTTACCACTCCTATGTCTGTCCACAACTTTGAGTGGACAATATGACTGAAGACAGAAAAGGAAGGGTGAAGGGGTGATGCATCCTGAGATGTGTAGTTGTTTCAAAACTAGATCTAGACAGAGGCCAGGGGCATTCCAATAGCAGTGCATTCTAGGAGGAGGATTTGATCACAGACATTGCATCTCTGCCTGTACAGGCTATCAGGGCTGAGCATTTCAACTAAGATCTTAAGGATTCAGAAACACTGTTTTCTTCCAGTGATGTTCTTAGGAAATTAAAAAAAAAATCAAATGAAAGTATAGAGCTATGTTTCACAAGAATTCAACTGAATAGCATGCCCCTTGAATTGCATCAATCTCAAAAGGAATAGGATTAAAATATACTGAAAAACACTGAAAATAAGTTCTCCTTCTCTAAAGAGTCAGCACCATTCCTGATTTATATAGTGGATTATTTAGGAAAACATGTATCCTCCTTTACAGGAGAATGCATTATCTGAGAATAAGAAGTCCGCATAAGAAGACCTAATCATGAATTGCAATGGCCTTAATTTCTACTTCAGTAAACTAAAACAATGCTATTGCCCTACTTAGGATCCAGGAGAATTAACCAAATATTTGACATGTATAAAGTATCAAGGAGGGAAGGTATTATTGGATAGTTAATTCCCTATTATCGTGTAATGCTTCTAAGGCAGCTAACAAAAAACAGTATGTAAAACAAGCTTTTAAAACATATTTTGTGTCTTAAAATTACACTTAACTTCATATATTAAAAACTAGTTTTCATAGTGACAAGTACACAAGAAATTATCTGAGAATATATTCTTAATAATTATCTGGGATTCAAAATTTAGATAACTCACCCTAAGATTAATATACATGTCAGAAAATAGGAGTTGGATTATATATTAGCAAATGCTTCTTTTAATTACCAGACACTTTAGGCATCCAGATGTGGTACTTTATCCATTATTAGGAGAATTCCCTTTACCCTACTATGAAAATCTAGTCAACCAGAAAATAAAGGCAGTCCTTGAATGGTAGTAGATATTTAAAATACACTTTCAAAATCTGCTTATTTAAAATTGTTACATAAAATTGGTTACTTTTAAACTTTTTTTAAGGTTTATTCATTTTTGAGAGAGAGACAGAGCACGAGCAGCAGAGGGGCAGAGAGAGAGGGAGACACAGAATCAAGCAGGCTCCAGGCTCTGAGCTGTTAGCACAGAGCCCAACATGGGGCTCAAACTCATGAACGACGAGATCAAGACCTGAGCCAAAGTTGGACCCTTAACTGACTGAGCCACCCAGGTGCCCTACATAAAATTGCTTAAAATGGGTAGACAATTCCCTGAGATTTAGAAAGGGCCCATTGTCACCTTCACAAATCATCCTCACCAAAGGCTTATCATATGAAATTTCCAGACAGTAGGGGAAGAAAAAAAAAAAAAAAAAAAAAAAAAAAACACTCCATAATAGAGGAGGATGAAGGATTATGCAAGAAGGTCTGGGGTCAGGGATGCAGGGTGGAGGGGAGAAAGAGGAGGTAGAAGACAGATAGATTATCCGACATATTTGACCACTTCCACAAATAATATTGATAAAATAGATGCTTGGTAGTTCTGATGATGTGTTTGGCAAGATACACAGAAAATCAAGTAAAAGGAACAACAAAGCAATTATGGACAGACTCTGGGGAAAACAAAAAGCTCTATGAAAAGAAAGGAGAGTTAGTCTCAGATAGATAAAATAGAAAATTAAGCAAAAGAAAGTAAGATAATTTAGGACAAACAAAAAGTTGAACAAGAAAGGATACCATAGGATTCTACTTGCTTTTGCTGTAAATAATATTTGCATGGCTATCATAATATAAATAGTGATGATAGAGGTAACCAAAAATTGTGATGTGACTATTTGCGGGAAATAAGAGGAGAGAGAAGGAATTTTAAGAGTTAAAGTTAAATCCTTAGCTACCATTACAGGAAGTCAACATACAACTGATATAGTAATACAATACTATTGTATTATTGATATAAAATTTTATATTATTGTAAATTGACATAAAAGTGATCAATTAAGATAGCAAGTTATTAAAAAACAACATAGAGGTAAGCAGTAGGGGAAAATATCTAAAAGAATTAAGAGTGCTTGACTCGAGAACAAAAGTAAGGGGTGGGGAAGGCTGGGGCAGGGAGCTACCATTTTTGCTTACAAAATTTTAACACAACTTGTTATTTTCTTACTATAACAAAAACTAAAATGAAAATGAAACATAAAAATAGAAGTAATTTAAATCTATTCAATTTTTTTTAATAAAAATTAATTCAAAAATCAAAATCTGAAATATTACAATGAAATCTCCAACTGATTACATCTTTGGGCATCAGAAGCAAATCAGGTTTCACAGAGCCTGAAATTTATAATCTTGCAGCAGGGAAGGGGTACTTCTTTAAGAAAAGGAATACAAAACTGCAAATAGAAAATAGGTACTAGAGGAGTTTCTGTTTCTTAGAATGTGAGAAAGGTCACAACAAATGACTGGAGCCTTGGAAAGCCAAGTCCATCTCTTACATTACCTCTTTAGGTCATTTGCCAGAAACGTTTATACAGAAATGTTTCCTGATTGCAACCTAGCTTCCTCTCCCCACTCAAGGCTCATACAAGTGAGGGGCCCTGAAGCTTAAGCTTCATTGGCTTCATAATAAGTCTGCTCCAAGATAAATCATAACACATCTGAGTCTGTGTGTACACAGAAATAAGCTCAACTACAATCACACTGATCCTCTGGGGGAAGCAGCCTGATGGGAAAGAAAACACCAGAGACTAGAACTTGGGCGTTGGTCCAAGCTTTGCCACCTTGTAAAAGTCACCCAAGGGGCCCACCTCCTTCAGTGGCAAAAGGAGGAATTGAAGAAGATGGTCTCTAAATTAACATAGAGCTCTAAAATTGATATTTATGAGTAACTACTCTAATAATAAAAATAAATATAAGAATAAGTTTTCTGTTGACATTAGCGTATCACCTTGATAGAATTCATGAAAGCAAAACAATAACAAAAAGAGAACTTTTATTTCCTTAATTTCTTCACAATACCAATCCTGAACTCAAAAAGTAAGCAAAAATTCCCTGGTCTCAAGACCTTACAAGTAAGTAAAAGTGAACCAACTACACGAAACCTTCAAATTAAGTTAATTTAATTACAGTGTTTTCTGGGTGGCAACACAGATCAGAACCTTCAACAGGAGTCATCTCTCTCACCTTTTGATTCCCTGCAGAGACTTGCCCACAGTGTAAGCTCAGGAGCTCACTGTTGTGGGAATCAAGTGAATTAAGGTTGCTGAGTGTTTTGAAACAGCTACATACTACATTAATATAAGTTATTACAAATGCTGGACTGGACCCTATCACAAACATCCCTAATGACCCTTGATAGTTAAAGGACCATAACCCACCCCCATCATTAGGATTACTTTGAAACTCCCGAGCTTAACAAGCTCCATAACTGAGCGACTCCCAGCAAGCACAGTCAAGTAACCATCTGTTTAAGTATTCACCTCAAAGTATTCGTCTTTCACGCCAGTTCTAATTTTCCAGTATTTCATAAACAAGTTATTATTCATTCTATTCCTGTCTCTCACAAAATTCATCCTAGTGCATCTCAGTCTTCATTTTTCCAGACCAGAACCCAATCTATTTATCCTCCTTATGTGAAAGCCCCTCTGTTCCCATCTTCATTTTAGTAGCCCTTTCGTGCACCTTCTTTCTTGTTTTAGCCAAAACACACACATTCCACAGTCAAAGAGGAAATACATTGGATTTTCTCAACAGAACAAGAATATAGAATACTTGTGGTGCTAGTTCTCGTGCATCTTGCTGATCTTGTTGACATACCTGGTGATGTCTTACAGAACAGTAATCACTAGCATTTATTAAGCACCTACTCTGGGCCAGACATTGCTCTATGCGTATGATGTGCATCAATTCCTTTAATCTTCACAACAAACCGATGAGGTGGGTACTACTGTTATTCCTGTTTTATAGATGAAGAAAGTGAGGCACCAAGAAATTAAGTAATCTGTGCCTGGTCATACAGCTACTAAGTGGTAGACCCGGGCCATGAATCAATGTAGTCTGGGTCCACAGCTCACGTGCCTAACTACTAGGCTCCATAGCCTCTCACTGTAAGTGAGTTTTCCCTCTATCATTCCCTAAGTATCTCTTTCCCAACTGGCAGTCATTTTTCTGTCCATTCCCTCAGGTATGAAATCTCTTCCTGTAGAGGATTTTACCAAACTTTGAATTGTATCACCCAGACTACCTTAGTGTCTTATGCAAACTTAAGAGTGCCCTCTCTTTCAGCTCATCTCAGGAAGAAAAAAAAAGGGGATAACCCCAACTCTACTCCCAGGGTGCCCACTATTTACACTTCTCCATCCAGATAAATACCAATTTGGTGTAGGAGC